GTCCCTCAAACCTCTCTGAAAGCTGACCTTTTATGGCCTTGAACCCATTCTCTCAAAACTCCCAAGATACAACCCCTGTTTGGTAATTTTCTTTTAGTCTGGTGTTTTTGTAAGAAATAAACACAATCGGATAATTAATTTTTAAATTTCGCATTAAAATGCGCTCTTCTTGCGTTTTTCCAAAAAAAAATAATAATTATTCAACTTTACCAAATTATTTACCTTGGTATTTTCAAAACTTTCATCAGTTTTTTTTTATTGTTGTTCTTCGACTAGGAAGTTGCACTTTTAAAATAAAACTTTTTCCAACAAAACTTCCAAGCTTTATTAAATCTTGATTTGAGTTAAATATTCGATTTTACATCTAAATCAAAGATAGAATAGAAGCGATTCAAAAAATAGGAAAAAATCTACAAGTTCGTTATGGCTTCTTTCTAATTCAGTCCTTTTAAGTTTATTTTTATTATCTATTGGAGAATATTCTTATTTTTAACTTTATAAACGATATAAAATTTATCATTAATGTCCTAATGTTTCAATCTTGCTGGTTTTTTTAAAAGAAATAAACACAATCGTAGATTTTATAATTATTTTCGCATTAAAATGCGCACTTTATTCCTGTTTCAAAAAATTATTTTTCATAAAAGGATACAACCTTAGTACCATTAAAAAATTTCGGTTTGTACAATTCTTGTCATCCAGATAAGTTATGTTTCAAACTGATGGTAAAGAATAACTTGATAACTTACATTCCAATGTGATGGCAAATAATAACCTGTTAGCTCACACTTCAACCTAATGATATATAATAACCTGACAGCTTATGTTTCAATCTGATTGTAAATAATAACCTCAAAGCTTATGTTTCAATCTGATGGTAAATAATATCTTGACAGCTTATGTCTCAACCCTGACGGTAATAATTACCCGACAGCTTATGTTTCAAACCTGATGGTAAATAATAACCTGACAGCTTATGTATCAACCCTGATGGTAAATAATAACCCGACAGCTGATGTTTCAACCCTGCTGGTAAATAATAACCCGACAACTTATGTTTCAACCTAGTGGATTGTAATTAATTATTACCACTAAAGAACAATCTAGTGGTAAGTGAAATATCCCAGAACAATATTATGCCAGTGATTTTAGTCTGTGATTTGTTTGATAATTCCAAATTAATTAAAAGTCTCTCCCTCAACCAGAGGCAATTCAGTAGGAAGGATCAGATGTAAAAAATTCAGGATATATCCAATTTTGATGGAAGTTACAAAGGATGTAGCATGTGATCAGATGTGATGATTAATATTCAGCAATAGTCATAGCCTTCTGTCAGATCACAAGATAAGGAACAAGGTCTCCAACATCAAACAGACAATGAAAAACAATCACATAATTTGATTTCAGAATAAAAGCAAAACAACTACCAAATCAATCTGTGTGACTGTTGCTGGTAAGATGCTGGAACCGTGTTTTTTTAACTGCTACTAACTCTCAATTGAAATACATTACCATTATATTTGAATACAACAGACTTTCCAACGGTGTATGTAACAAAAAACAATATTCTCATTCTACCCCAAAACAGATCATGTCATATCAGTGATATCCTGGTGATTTTATAGTCTGCCACTTGATGGATTATATTAAGTAAACAAATTATTTGACTTTACCTCTGGTTGATCCTGTCATATCAGTGATATCCTGGTGATG